TGGAACTCAAAACACATGAGATCAGGTAGCACCATTGACATCTTTATAAGTTGAGGCAGATGTATTCCAGCAGCAATTATTGAATTTGATAAATCACTGCACATGTACCTGCCTAAACATACCTGGTCCAGCAGTTAGCATCATTAGGAGAAACAACAGACTTTTGCTTGTATCATACTTCTAAGAGTCTGCTGGCTCACATGGTGTAGGAGGATCAACTCTAAAACTAGCACCCAAAACATGGCATTGGTAGAATCTTATCTTCCAACACTTAAAAGGTTTTCCAAGAATGACCTCTTTAAATTATTTCAAAGTAATCTTCACAAAGACAATTTTGCTGTGTTGAATCAACCAACTTACTTTCCCTTACCTGTCTGAGCTGCATTGAAGTTGCTGTTTAGAAGTCATACCTAGATTCAGAACAGGTCCAAACCACAATTCCAGTTGACTTCAAAATTACTTTAGAACAGAAAACAATAAATTAATTATGCAATTTCTCAATACTAGTGTATCAAGAAATACTGGGAAATAATTACCTCAACAAATCTAAGAGGAAGATAGCTCATAAAATATATTCCCTACAGTGCATCCATGTCTGGAAAAGGAAGAAAAAAGAACGCCAAGAGCATTTCTAGAAGACAGTATTTTGCTACTGTCATGGAAAAGACATGCAATATCCAAATTATGAAGGGTGGAATGTGTGTGCAGAAGTTCGTATTGCAGAGCTTCACTAGAGCTGGCTTCTTGTCCTAAGAACAATACTTAAGATAACAAAATTCTGGTTCTAAGAGCTAAAATAAAACCCTCCTGTATGTCTGGAAATAAAGTAAAGCCAAAGAAAACCAATTTCTTCCTTTTCTGAAGCTCAGAAAGCTAGGGGCAGTGCTGATAAAACAGCAAGTACCTGATCTGACACCACTAACACAATCCCCTTGCCAAGAAAGGACACAGCAGTGAAAGCCTGTGGGACCCTCATACCTCATTCTCATGGATTTCCTCATGCAGATATACAAACTCCTCCTGAGAATTCACATATGTGAAATAAAATGTTGAAGGCAGGTATTTGTTCAGAACAGTTTTTTATTTAGAACATATACTGTGTCATGTACAATTTTGTCAAAACACAGAATGCAATTATCAAACCTATAAAACAGTATAAAATTTTATTGAACAATGAACTCTGGAAAATTTTAACATTAACATTGCATAGCAGACTCAAGTCATACTATATAGCAATGATTTTTGGGTCTGTACTGATGCATTCAAAAAGAATGAATAGGCAGCCATTTAGGCTATTCCTTATTATTATTAATAAAATAAGAATCAAAGCTTATCAGCAAACAAAAAGAATACAGATCACACTGTTATTACAAATACCGTCAAATATAAACCTATTAAACAGTATAAAATTTTATTGAACAATGAACTCTGGAAAATTTTAACATTAACATTGCATAGCAGACTCAAGTCATACTATATAGCAATGATTTTTGGGTCTGTACTGATGCATTCAAAAAGAATGAATAGGCAGCCATTTAGGCTATTCCTTATTATTATTAATAAAATAAGAATCAAAGCTTTTCAGCAAACAAAAAGAATACAGATCACACTGTTATTACAAATACCGTCAAATATAAACCTATTAAACAGTATAAAATTTTATTGAACAATGAACTCTGGAAAATTTTAACATTAACATTGCATAGCAGACTCAAGTCATACTATATAGCAATGATTTTTGGGTCTGTACTGATGCATTCAAAAAGAATGAATAGGCAGCCATTTAGGTTATTCCTTACTATTAATACAGTAAGAATCAAAGCTTATCAGCAAACAAAAAGAATACAGATCACACTGTTATTACAAATACCGTCAAATATAAACCTATTAAACAGTATAAAATTTTATTGAACAATGAACTCTGGAAAATTTTAACATTAACATTGCATAGCAGACTCAAGTCATACTATATAGCAATGATTTTTGGGTCTGTACTGATGCATTCAAAAAGAATGAATAGGCAGCCATTTAGGCTATTCCTTATTATTATTAATAAAATAAGAATCAAAGCTTATCAGCAAACAAAAAGAATACAGATCACACTGTTATTACAAATACCGTCAAATATAAACCTATTAAACAGTATAAAATTTTATTGAACAATGAACTCTGGAAAATTTTAACATTAACATTGCATAGCAGACTCAAGTCATACTATATAGCAATGATTTTTGGGTCTGTACTGATGCATTCAAAAAGAATGAATAGGCAGCCATTTAGGCTATTCCTTATTATTATTAATAAAATAAGAATCAAAGCTTATCAGCAAACAAAAAGAATACAGATCACACTGTTATTACAAATACCGTCAAATATAAACCTATTAAACAGTATAAAATTTTATTGAACAATGCTCTGGAAAATTTTAACATTAACATTGCATAGCAGACTCAAGTCATACTATATAGCAATGATTTTTGGGTCTGTACTGATGCATTCAAAAAGAATGAATAGGCAGCCATTTAGGTTATTCCTTATTATTATTATTACAGTAAGAATCAAAGCTTATCGGCAAATAAAAAGAATACAGATCACACTGTTATTACAAATACCATCAAATATAAAAATCCAACTTGGCCATAAATTGAGTATGAAGTGCCCTGTTAAAAGGGACGAACCTTTTCCCAGAGATTTGAACTACAATGAAGTATAAATCAGAACTATTTGTGTATTGCTTACATATAATTATACATCCTTGCTTCTAGGAAGAAGAAACAACACTGAATAAAACCCAACCTATATAAAACTTTTTTAACTGTAACAGTGCATTAATGCTTCTTGGTGAGCTTTAACCAGAGAGTTATCCAAGGCATTCCTACAACTGGTCTTTCCCATCAGTGTAGCTTAGTTTTCTGTAGACTCTAAGGAAAAAAAACCCAAAACCTTTGTTTAGATGACAGAGTAAATTACACAAAAATACTGTATATTTGCTGAAACTCCAGTGAACAGGATGAAATTGAAACAAATTGTCAAAGCAAGGTATCTGAACATCTTGACTGTCAAGAGCAGCAGGGCTCCTTGTCTGCTTTCCTATGTGCCTTCACATGGAGAGAAAGCTTTTCATGCTATGTAATTTTAATCTCTCAGTAGTGCTACTAGATCAATCTAAGTTATGTATATCTATTAAACTTTGAGATGTAATCTTGGAATGTATTCAGAACTAGATAAAAGGTAAAGATATAAGTGAGAACACCTTGCATATTACTTAAGAAATTGCATAGATTTTCTCTCCTATTTTGAACTAATTTTGTTTACGTCTGACAATTAAGTATAGCAGTAAAGCTCTAGGACAGCGTTCACACAGAGCTGTTATGAACATTTATGTTATGTTATTAGTTATGAACATTTCCTTTTCAGAAATCTCTTTCATAATCATCTTCTAGATAAAGGCAATCTGGGTCCAGATAGAAAAACATTACTCTTTTTCTTTTCACAACCATTCATTAGAAAATAGAGCATTTTTCCACATGGCTTAGGCATTGAATGTCTGAGGGATCTGAAGCCATTAAAAAGCTTCACTGCTGGGAACCATAGAAAGCTAAAAATATCACACCACAGGCCTCAGGAAGCTTTCCAGCTCACAGTCTGTTTTGGCTACAAATCAGCAAACATGTCTTTGTGTAATTAAAGAAGAAAGAAATAGATTTTATTCCAGATGACTTGGAAAAAAACTCTGAAATCTTGATTTCTCTACTTCTAGGCATTAAATAAAGAAAACCCATTTCCTTTAAAACAGTAACTAATCTAACAGGAATGGCTGTTTTGTATGGGGAGACAGGATAATGTAGTGAGGAAAAACAAAAGGGAATCAAAGAACTGAGATGATCTTTGCTCAGTTAAGTGGGCATACTTAACATCACAGAAACATCCTTATATACTCATCAGCTTGTCTCCAATCTTTCATTATATACTAAATAATCAAAATATAATCTTTATCAATATTGTATGTATTTGTAAGCCTCTAAATTTCAATTCCATCTTTGCTTAAACTGAAACTTGATTTCTTTACATCATTAAACTTCTTTTCTGGGTAAATTCTCCATACAAGTAGTTTAAAAAATGCTTTCAGCCTTCCTTTGACCTTCCAATTCAAACATGGTCAGTTAATGCTGATACCAGCCATATGATGATCTCAAGCATAGTGAAAATATTTCTTGACTGAGCTTGGGAAGCCAGCATAATGTCTGGTGAAAAATTACACTTATGGCAAAAAAGCATGTAAAAATGTTTTGGTAAATAAAATCAGGAATTTTTTAGAAAGCTTTTAATGATTTAAAAATTTTTGGAATATTAAATGTTTGTAATTAAAAATTGAAGAGATCTGAAGCTTGATACTCCTTTAAAAGTTACTTATTTTCTATGAAAACCAGACATTTTAGGCCAGTATTCAGGGAACTGGAAAGAGTGTCCTGCTTCCAGAGATCTAAGTAGTACACTGCCAGTAGCGATAATAGCAGGAGGAGAGGATCTCTGATATGTTCCAAACAGAGCTACCGCTTGTTCACTCAGAGCCAAAATGTAGCTAATGATGCCCATCTGCACAGAGGCCAGCTTTGGCAAGTTCTTTTAAATAATAATATGCTGCACTTCTCTCTGAGAGGACTTGTCAGCTTAAACACAGAGCCACGATCAAAATAATTCCGCAGCATATCTAAAACAATAAATGCCTCTATAATGAACACCAGATGGGAATTACAGTAGGTATTCAGTCAGGTCATCTTACTGTCTTGTGCTCAGCAGCTCTCCTTGCTGGAGCCGGGCCAGTTTTGACCACAGACACTTGCCTCTCAGTGTTCAAGTCTGCAGCTGTGATTAGCTTGGGCTCTCCCACACTCATTTTCATTCTACAAAATTATGCATGTCATCTCCATATCTTTAATGCAGGTGTAGAGGAGTAAGAATTCATTTTGAAATCTCTTTTAAAAAGAGGCTATTATTACCTTGGGTGATGCTTGCTCACACTTCTGAGAGAGCTGCAATTCTCCTTTGCCCCAGGCAAACCAGAGTGTGCACCTGCAGTTCCAGATTCTGGTATGAAAAGGGCAGGAACAATGCTGAGTAGCATGAACATTACAGAATGTTGTTGAAGTATTAGCCTATTTAAATGTTGGAAGTACTTCAATGGGCAAATTTCCTTAAGAAAATACTGTTGCATGAATTAATAAAGGGTCTGAAACTAACCTTGCAGGGAAGTGCCAGAGATACCAAGAAAACTTTGTTGTGAAGAATCATGAGATCCAGAGCCCTGAAAATAAAGAAACAACATATAACATTCACTAAAAGATACACTGTTTCACAGTTTGCCTCAGAAATTACTGTGAATTGAAAAGAAGTGTCTGATTTAAATCAAAAAGTTAAATGATTCTTGTGAAACACTATAAAGATTGTTTTACCTTGTCCATCTATAAAATTAATGTCATTATTTCAAAAGGATAACTCCATAACTAAGTCAATATTTGAGGTCATTTTTTCCAGTGACATTGTCTATTAAAATGGAGTAAAAACTTTCATTTATACCATTTCAAATTTATTAAATATGGAGAGCTTCATCACATGGATCCAGAAGATCTGACATCCCCAAGCCCCCAGAGCTGTAAATGATCCTTACTGACCAAAAAGCACCATAAGTATGCTACCCTTAGTTAAAACAGCTTGCAGCTCTAATCCATTCTTAAGCCCTTCTCCAAGTATCTAACAGTGCAGAGTTTTTTTTCCCCCAAGCTCCTTAAATACCTGACAATGAAAGTTGCGATCAGCAAAAAAGCTGGGCTTGCTACAGTTGTATGTGCTCAAAAAATCCATGCCACTTGTCTGAAGATTACCCTCTTTACTGTGGGAAATCTCCTGACATTTGCTTGAAGAAAAACAATATTCCGGTATAAATTTCAGTCGCTTTACTGGTGAACAAAGAGGATGGTTTTGAAAATTTCCCGCTCTTTTAGCACTGGAAATTGCAGAATAAGTTCTCATAGGAGAATTAACAAGAGCATTTACAGTTTCAGGCATCTGTATTTCTTCATATTTCCTGAAATTTGAAGCTCTCTGAAGCCCAGGAAATTTTGGAACAGACTTCCCACACAGTTCCTCGAATTCTGTATCACGCTGTTTAAGGGACCTCTCAGAATCACTTAGATTACTCTTCACTAATGTTCCTTTCTCTTCATGGCTCTGTGAGTTTAAAAGAGGTCTTGTCAATGTCAAAGGCTTACAGTATTCCCCAGAAATCACTCTGTAGTAGAGTTTGTCAAATGCAGCATCTATTTCTTCGTCCCTCTTTGAAGAACTCTGCTTCCAGGAGGAAAATGACACTTTGTGCTGGAAAGAAGTTATTTTTTGAGGATATATGAACCTAGTATTTGTTGATCTTGCAGGAGAAAAATTTATGGTAGATATAGAATTGTTTCTATTGCCATGGGAACTGCAAGCAGATGAACACAACTCTGAGGTATCAACACAAAAGTCCGCTTTCTGAGTCTTACTCTCTTTTACAAGATGAAACGCTCTTGAATCTGAACTGGCAGTAGATGTTATAAAACTGGGTTCTGAGAAAAGTTTGTAAGTAAATTTTTCACCTTCTATGTATTCTGAATTCTTTGGTGAGGCAATAGTCTCTAATTTATCTTCAACTAGAAATGTCTCTCCCATTCTATCCATAACATCAGGAAAAGCAGTATGTTTGCAGACTTCTTGACTTTTTCCAGATGCCAAATGTTGTTCTAAACTTGAGTCAGAGTAGTGCACTTTGGTTTCATTTGTATCAGCACAAGCATAAGGTGCCAGAGCAGATGAATTACTAACGGGACAACTGTCAGAACAGAATTCTCTGCTTTCATTTCCAAAAGTTGGATTTTGGTTGTCTTCACTTCTACAGCTACACATGCTGTGGAATGCCTTCTTTGGTTTCCATTTACAAGATCTGGACTCTCTCATTTTGTCTACAGTAACATTGAGCTTTGGTCTTCTAGAATGCCATCTCTTCGACCTTAAGTGTCCAAACATGTACTTCAACACTCTTCTCTGAGAATGCTTTGTCATAAGGTCTGTAAGTATCGCTACCATTGCTGGATATAAGCCTGAAAAAGCTGTACTGCTCAAGGAGCATCCCTCATCTGCAGACTGGCATCCTCCAAGGATACTATCACATGAAGTCATGCTCAGTTCTGGACAAGGTTGATGCCTGGGTGAGGCTACTGTATTTGATGGAAGGGGAACAGCAGAATGTTGCAACTGTGGATATTTGGATGAAGAACATTCATTTGAAAACTCTAGCTTCTTTCTGCAAACACCAGCTTGATTGCCTATTTCATAAAAACCAAAAACCAAACAAAAAAACTACAGTGAGTCAAAAAAAACCCCCAAAAACAAAGAAAAAATCCAAACCTATTAAGGCACTTACAATATTATATTTTATAACTTCAAATAAACTGCATATGATTCAGATAAAGTTAATGATTATTAAAAAAAACAACCTAATACACTTCTAATCATATGGACTTCACATACTAAAGAGGAAAGAAGTTAAATGTTGGAAAACTGCATTATTCAAATAGCATAATATGCAGATATTCACTGTAGCAGAAGACTTCTTTGCGATTTTGTCAAACCTGGTCAGAAGTAACAGCTTTATCCAAAAGGTTTTGTTACTTATTTGCTGTGCTCCTTGAAAGCTTTGTACTTGGCTTGTAAAAGTGCAGCTTTTGTTTTCTTAAATCATGATGAAAATATTGCTTTCAGTAGTTGTTAAGCCTAAAATATTTATACTAAAACTCATAGGATTGCAACGAGACTGAGAAGCTTCTGACCAAAGTTCGCCGACAAAGTACAACTTTGACTACCAGCTGCCAGCAGACCCCAAGCCACAGTATTACATTCCTTCAGTTTAAAATAGGCAGAACTAAAAACCACTGCTTACAGTGAGCTAAATGTAGCTGAATTTTAAACTATGCATATTAGTTCCTGAGGCTGCATGAGAAAAGTTGGAGTTATACAGACAATTTATTTGTTTCTGTTTTCAAAATAGATTTTGCCATAAGAAAAATCATGTCTGCCTTTCCTTTAAAATCCAGCCTATTGAAATTTTAAGATGGATAAATAATGCCTTTGTTTACAAGAAATTAAATATTTCACCGAATGAATTTCAATAAAACCATTTTTAAACAAATAAATTTGACCAACAGACAAAAGACTTAATTGTACCACGCAGTTCTTGCCCTGGCAAAGTTGAACGATGACTTTTTGACGAACTTGGAGTTGTTATCTGAAAAACATCAAAAGAAAAAAACAATCTAACATTCTGAGCTTTTTGCATGTTAAATATATCATCAGAACCTTACTTGTGACTTCCTTGCCTCTTGCTGTTCTGGGTCATGTACAGTTATGGCCTTTTAAAGGCTCAGCCAAGTTCAGACAAAATGGAAAACATCTAGTCTAAGGCTTCAGTAGGAAGTTTTAGGAGTTACTAGTTTATTCTTGGAAAGCTATTCATCATTTTTTCAACTTATACATTACATGTCATGTACTAATCCCTACCCCAAATATAAGAATTTATCCATGCATATATATCTACACACACACACACGTGAGTAATCTACACATCTCTGGCAGCTCCAGCAGAAAAGAGAAGCTCTATTCTGACACTTCACCTCTGACCTTCCTCACTCCCCAAATCAAAACAAAGCTAATTCTTTTTCTTTGAGCCTCTACAAAGCTCAGATTCACACTTTTAAGAAAACTGACAGCTCAAAGATCAACCTGCACATCAGGGCTCCAAGAATAATATATAAAAGTAAAAAAAAAAAGGGAAAATACATTTCTAAAACATTTACTCTGTTTCTTACATTTCATAGCTCTCAAACCCCCAGATCCTACAATATCTACAAAGACATCAAGCAGAAGAACAATGGGAGAAGCACAGAGAAGTTGTGTCAGAATGCATTTAACTGCTGCCCAGTTAAAGAGCTTTTATTTCATCCTAACTAGCTAATAACTTAGAATAGGAGAAATATCATACCGTTATCCATTTGGGAATATTTCTCTCATCACCTTGTATTATCACATCCGTGGGAACTCTTTTTTTCTTCAGTATTTGTCCATCATCTACATTCAGATTCTTAGAGGAAAACAAAATTATTAAAACAACATAGAACTTATTGGCACAGGCAACTACAAACTGATTATTCTGATTTACTGCAAACTAGTGTTCTTCAGATCAGAATATATGCAACCTGCATAAAGTTATTTCTAATGTACACATTTTAAGCAAAAAACTGCCTCCCCACGTGCCCCCCAGCAAAAAAAAAAAAACCCTATAATTGCATAGAAGGAACTATCTGTGAAGATATATGAAAAGGGATAATAAACAAGAATATTCAGGGAACAGCAAACACTGCCTTAAAGAGCCTCTGATAAAGCCAACAAAAATTCCAAACAAATAAAGAAAGGAGAAAGAAATAAAGAAAAATGGTTACAATGCTCTGACAATGACACCTGCAAATCTCTACTTGTATTCCCAACATCCTGTGGGAAGCCATATACAAATTAAGGTCTGTTCTGCAACGACCCTCAATGTAGAACCTCAGGGAATTTTGTAATAAAAGGCAATTCATTAGTCAAACTGTCACTTTCTGAAGCAGATTCAATTAGCTGTTGTCAGAGAGTGGACACCAGCACAGTGCTAGACAAGTGAGGAAAGTAAATCCCATTTTTGGCACCGCTGTTGGAGCAAGCAAACCACAGGATTAAAATGGCTGCACAAACACACAGTGCATGTTGTATTTTTCCTCAACACTGTAAATAGTCTGGCTAGCCCTGACCATAATCTAGTTTGGGAAGCAACAGCAGAAGATTCCAGCCTGCTTTTGTTATGACAGCCATTATTGCTCATTTACCATGTCCTTCAAACCATGTTACCTACCTATGCTAGACCCCCTGGTGAACGACCATTCTTTTTATAAGCATTTTCACCTTAAGATCCATCTGGTGTCTCTTTTTCCTTAGCTAGAAAAGCCTTTCTCAGGGCTGCCTGCTGATGCAGTACACTGTAGGCCTTTCTCTGGCCCACTGGTATTAGCAAGACAATAACATCACTTGTCATTGGTCTCTGTGACACTAATTATTGAACACCTCACCTGCCAAAAATGTGCATTAAAATGCAGATGATATCAAGTCTTCTGCTGACTGCATCAGCTCATCAGGCAGGTGTAAACATCTCAAATAGTTAACAGCTTCTATTGGATCACTACATTCTATTAGACACCCCAAAGTTTTACCTTGAGACGAATTCCTTCAAATTTTCTTCCTACGGAGGCTACATCACCACCTTCTTCACCTGCAATTTGAAAGTAAATATTAAATCAAACATAGCTGAACTCAAAACAGAAATGTTTTTAAACACACACTGTGCAAGTTATTGGCTAAACTGTTTTCATAATAGAAAACAGTTTTCTGCCCTATAACTTTAAACTGTATTGCATTTCCATTCCAATTCCAATTGGAAAGCATGGTTTGTGGCTCCATAAATGACTGCAGCAGAGCAAAGGAGGCTTAAGAAAACTTGTTTGCCATCAGTTCATGACAATTTATATTAAATATTTCAGGGAGTGAAACATTTTTAAAGCTCTTTCTTTTGTGGCTCTCTAAGATTCATTAATCATTAGTGAACCATCCCCACTACATTCCTAAATATGCCAACAGGATTTTCTCTCACGCTTCCTCTTCGTAGCTTCCTGTTGCCAAGACTACCTCAGGACTCACAAAGTGAGAAATAAGACTTGAGAATATGAAAAAGCAAGACAGACACTGGTCACTCAGTTCTAGGTACTCTATTCTGTGGGTCGTTTGGTGAATGAAATGCAACAAAGTATTGTTTTCCTCGATGTAGGCAGACCTTCCAATTCATTATTAGCTAAAATCAGTCGTCCATGAGAATCAAATATATGACTGCATTTTCAGCCCTGCTTTCTGAACTGCCCTGCACTCACCAGAGGGAAGGAGAAAGGAGAGGGGAATAACCCTGGGAATCGTGAGTGAAAGAAATCTTGGTTACGGTACTACCACATCACTGCCTCGTCATACTACTCTTAAATTGCTATTTCTCTTTCTGCCATACAATCTTCTTCCTCCAGCACAACTGGGCACAAACCTGTCAGATTGCTTCCTACACGTTCATCCACATGAACAGACTGGACTGCTACAGAAATGGGCGCTTCCTGAGATAAAGGGAACAACTCCTGTGTCACGGAATGGTTGACCCCATCACATCAATTATAAATTATTAACAAATAGCTTGCATCAGAGCATGAGCTGATTTGTATACAAGTGGAAAATTCTTCTACGTGTGAGTCCTCCAAAATCTAATTTTAGCATATCTTCAATGTGCTGGCAATCATACTTTCAAATCACTGGATCTTCAGTAATTAGCAGTGGGCCTGGGCACAGAATGGAAAACTAAAAGTATTCTCTCCAGGGAATCCAAAAGTGGTCTTCAAGGCCAAAAGGGAAATTCAGCAACACCTTTGCACCTCAAAGGCAGAACAGAGAGGAAGAAAGACAACTTCCACCTTCCTCTCTCAAAACTATGACCTTTATTAAAGAAAGCTATTTCACAGGAGGTGCATCCAAAACACTATCATTCTCTATCCCTTTCTCCAAATTAATTCAGTCCTCTGTGGTAGCATCCTGCTGAATATAAGCAGTTGTAAGATTTACTCTGCCAAGCTACTTCCTGAGAAAGCAAGAAATGGTAATCCTAATAACTTTCCCTATTAAGGACAGACTTGCAGGCCCAGGTGAGAGCTGCTCCACTTGACTTTTACCTGCTGTAGACAAGCTTTGCACACTTTCAACTCAAAAATAGTGTTTAGTACCTGGAAGAAACTCTGCCTTCCATGACTAGTGTGAAGTATTCTATATGAATACTAAAAATGGAGAACACCTGCCAAAATTAAAACTTTAGTTAAAACGGCTAGACCCATTTCTTCCCTTAAGTTAGCGTGCTCTATTGGTAAGCTTTTATGTATCAAAAAGCCACCAAAACCAAACCAAGAAAAAAAGGCCCTGAAAACACCCACCCAACTACCAACAGCCAAAACACCACATATCCCAAACACCACAGTGCAATCAATTTTTTATGGGAAGAATCTAAGGTCTACATCTTACAGGATTTGGAGATAGCTGGAACTCACAGGTTTCCAGAAATCCTCACCACATGCTTCGCAGACCATTCGTAAGAGGAGGAGGAGAAGCTCATAATCATTTATTGGATGCTGCTATGAAAATACCAGAGTCTGAAGCACTCCACACATTTATCCCACAAGAGCAAAAGGCAAGGGAACTTACCAAGAACACCAAGCTACAGGTGTCTCTGAAATTTTTTTCCCAGCTTTCATTGTGCAGGCTGAGAAAAATGGCCTGCTTTCTAAATTGGCTGAAATTACTTCATCATTCAAATGCTTATTTGAAGCTATCCTCACAAATGACAGTAGGAAACATTTCCCTCAACAAGGAAGAAATGCCCAGCCTCAGAGGCAGCTATGTGGATGAACAAGCTAATTGAATACCAGCATAGGGAAACCCCAAGCTAACCATACTCTAGTACAACTTCCCTTTCAGCCACTAACTGCTGGCTACTGCCCAGCCATAGCCACATCTATGAAAAACACTGCATGTTTTCATTTGCTCAAGAATCAAACTGTTGAATAATACCAGGCATAAATATTTTCAAAAAGTCAAAGGCAGCTCCCAGTAACTAATGCAATCAAATAATTATTTGGGAGTACAAGGTCAAAACCTCACTCTCTCCCATTCTCTCAACAAAGTTCAATAAAGGGTAGATAAGCAGTACATGAAAAAACCCACCTGTATCAGATGTATCTGCACCAGAGCTCTCAGAAGATTCCTTAAAAGCACATGAAAGGAATTTTAATACCTGGTAGCTTAAACTATATTTCATTAGCCCATGGAATTTTCTGCTTTCACTACTTGCTCAGTCTTTGGGGGGTGGTGGGAATGAAACAAATGTAGGTGTATTCCACAAATTGTGACCAAATCACACCATCTTTATTAACAAGTCTATACACAAACTTACGTTGAGTCAAAAGAAGCTATTCCAGACCACACAGATTGTACAAATAGTCATTTAAAAAGTTAGACCCACATATTGCCTAACTAAAAAGGCACTTGATGGTGAAGAGCCCAGATCCAACTGCTCGCTCTCCTCCTTCAAAAAAACCCTAATAAAACAGCTGAAAACCAGTACAGATATTGTGGCACAGGACCACCGGCTCATAAATGATTTCTTAGCTTTTGACTCCACAAATACATTTTCCCAAAGAGGCCAACATAGGACAGTTGGGGTTGGAAGGGACCTTAAAAATCATCTAGAACCAACCCCCTCTGTGATGGCCAGATTGCTCAAAGGCTCACCCAGCCTGGCCTGCAACACTCCATCAAAAGAGATGCAATGCAGCACCCATACCTGGTGTGCTGGTGAGTCCTCATCTTCAAGACCGTGGCTCCGCTTCTCTGATATTTCGTAGCATGAATGGGAGAGGAAAATAAAAACTCTATTACTTTCATAATACTCAGCCTCTCTTCCTATTTCTGTTTTCAATTTCTTTTATTTTTCCCTCTATTTGCATCCTATCACCAGTGGCTCTAGTATTTGGTTTCTATTTCTCATTCCCTCTGGTCAAGCACACTATAATGAAACACAAACCAAAGTACTCCAGCACACTTTTTGTCACTGTTGAACAGTGCAGAAAACCTGTTTTGTGTGCTTCATGGTCAAGGCACTTGTGCATATCTTCTGGCATGGTGTGTGCTACTTTTACAGCAGACTGCAATATCGTTGGTTGGCTCAAGCAACTTTCAAAATTGTCTCTTCAGCATTTGATTATTGCAAAGTAAGTCTATTACTCTGAACTTCTTTGCATGAAATTGAAGATATTCCACTTCTAGCCCTAATGTGTCAGACCACTTTTCTCAGTGGTCAATCCCACCTGCTATCACGTAAGCGTTAATTAATTCCTTCTTCTGTTAATTAATTAAATAAAGTATACAACCAATAAAGTGCACAGGACAAGTCCTGTAATAAACCCGCCATGTTTCTCCCAAGTTTGGATGCAGACCACTGATAATTATTCAAAGCACAATTTTCCAACCAGTGGCTATAAAACCACTCTCTCATCAAATTCAACAAGCATGTAACTGGAAGGCTCTGGCTTAAGGTTGTAACCTTCTCTGGAAATTAATCTTCATGATTTTGGAAAACACTACTGTAACACCTCCTTAACAACATATTCTTTTAGAAGCCAGAGTGCCTCTTCCAAACATATCTGGATTGGGAACAGATGGCATTAAAAGAACAAAGGAGTGTCCAGTTGAAATCCCTTACTGAGCAAGGTCTATGAAGCACCACAAAGCCCATTTCGTACCCAAAAACTCTCAAGGAAAAAAAGGCAATTTATGCGGCTGATATATGACCAAAATATCACTTCTCTGGGAGGCTGAAATTTATCCTACCTGCTCTTCCTTAACTGAGAGCTGCCATATATGAAAAAAAAAAAATAGTCCACCACTCAAAGGACTGTCACATTTGAATCAGGACAACTTTAAGAGGATGCTGGACAAGCCACCCAAATAGGAAAACTTAAATCTAGCAAAATGCAGAATTGTGAGTTGGAAAAAAAACAACACTAGGTATATTCTAAGGCGAGGGGTCCATTGATAGGTATTTGTTTAATGTTCAGGCTTAACAGCAAAACCTTTATGTATCCTAATTTAAAACACTTAGGTCTACTTAAGAGTAAGTGAGTAAATAAAATCTGTACATTAGCATTACATCCATGGTCAGACGTATCTGTTTTGGGCTGAGGGTTTAAGGTGTATGGGCTGCTTTGATTTTTGGGTTTTTTTAAGACTAACAGCAACCAAAACCAGACAGTTCAAATGCATTCATGTGTCTTTGTGTTTCAATTAAACAGAGCCAGAGCAATGTATGGTTTTCTGAAGCTGGAAAAATCAGCAATATTCTATTTTTTATGGAATATATAAATATACACAGGAAAATACAAATCTACTCAAGCTTACGTTGTTCATAAGAAAGTTGTTCATCCAACTTTCATATTTAGTCAGAAATTGCTTTCCTAGGATGACTTGAAATAAAGTAATACATTTCTCAAGTAACATCAGAAGCTGCAAAAACACATATTACCCATTTTTCTGCCTTTCTAGGTCATCTGAAATGGAGTACACTAAATTTAAACTTACAAAGATCACGACTTTCTAGCATTTAAGACAACCATGCAAACTCCTTTCTGTAAGAGCTTC